GGTGTTAAAGAAGACATCAACATGTTTTTTCCTTCAAAGCCAAGTGATTTCTTTAATCAGGGTATTAACAACCTGACAGTAAGATGGAAAAGCATCATCGATAAGAATGGAGACTATTTCATTGAATAAATGTTTTGTTTTGATATATAAGTTGTTCGGGTTTTTTCATCTAAAAAAAAAGCGACATTAATTTCTTGACGACCTAATACAAAGGCATCAACACACGCATATATGATCAATGTCTACACTTTTACTTGCCCCCAGTGGCACAGCGGTATGTCTGCAGACTTACAACGCTAGAATCCGGGTTTCGATACCCGTGGTGGGCAGAACACAGATAGCCCATTGTATAGCTTTGTGCTGAATTACAAACAAACAAACAAAACAGTTTTATTTGAAGAATAAGTGGATTTCGTACTTTCACTCATCACTTTTCTTTTTAAAACAGTTTCAGAAGCGTTTCATTTTTCCTGATTCCATATTAAACACGTTATAATGCCCACTGTATTCTTCGTCTTATGTTCCGTATTTTTGTTTTATTCGGTATTGAGACCATGCCAAATATTTCTTATCTTTTTTAGTGATATACTAAAAAAAAAAAGACGTATCGAATAATGATTGAAAGTACTGAGATAGCGTAAAAGTAGCGGAGTGTTAGAATAAAATATTATGGTAAGCAGATTATGCCTTTAACTTGATATTTGACACACATTTATATATTTTACTCTCTCTATTCAGGCTGGAGACTGGAATGTTGAAGTTGGAATAAAAATTACAGGAAACACAACTAAAGCTATCGAGGAGGTTAAAGCTTCTCTGAAAAACAAGACCTTGATTGTAACAACATTGATGGTAAGCTACTATTTAAAGAATAATACATTGATTATGACAAGATTGTTAGTTGGTAAGTTATTATTCAAAGAAAAACAACATTAATTATAACAGCATTGTTGGTAGGTAAGTTAGTATTTAAAGAAAAATACATTGAATTGTTGATTGGTAAGCTATTATTTAAAAAACACATTTATTGTGACAGCATTGTTGGTAATATATTCTTTAGCACCCAGTCTGCAAATAAATGAGACCGATTTCAGGGGATTGGGTGGACTACAGAGGGGATGTTACGATTCTAGTATCAAGTTAGAACAAAATAAAATGTGATCAGACAAAGGGCTGGATGTGTTAGCCTTAAAAATAAAATAAAAACACTTTACTACCAAAAGAACTCACCTGTCAATAGTGTTTGGCAATGAAGATGTAGAGCTTGGGGGTTAACCGGACTGTGCTCCTCTTGGCATGGGGGTTAACCACATTGTGTTCCTCTTGCACAAAATAGTAGAAGTTTCATGTTCAGGCAGGTTCCGAACTTAGTCAACTTACAGCAGCACGTAAGCTTCTTTGTGTCATCTTCAACTATTCTAATCTACAAAACTCGCTAAAACCGCGAAGAAAACGGTTTTATAGAGCTGAGAAGTCAGATCTTGTATTGCACAATATGTTTGGTCACTACAGTGATTTGTATGGAATTTTGAATGAAGATATGCGATTTACTCCCTCATAGCCTGGAAACTTGTACGAATTCGGTCACGCTAGTGAGCAATTCAGATTCCAGATATCGCAAAGAGTTCAACTTTCTATTCAGATTTATTTAAAGAAAGTACCAGAAAACTCTGTTTGGGAATTAACTCACCAAACATGTCTCCCTGAGTGGCGGACTGGGGTTAAAGAAAAGCACTTTGATTGCTGGTAATTTGTTCTCTAAAGAAAAATACACTTACAATGAAAAACATTTTTTTAAATTTTTACATGTAAAGAAAATTATCTTGGTTGGGGCACCGACGTTCGTAATTTGAGTTAGTGTTTCCAATAGGTCTAAAATTTTAATTCTGTAATGAATGTGAAAAAACCCATTTAGTTTACATCCATTACACCCAGTAGTTATTAATGCTTCGCTAGCTTTCGACGTTTTGAATTATTGTTTATTTGTAAGATATACTTGTTAAAGGAAAAGCTAGATTTTTCTTTTCTTTCTTTTTTATCTTAACTTTGATTTCGATTATCTTCAAACAGAAATATTTGGTGACTATAGAAAACAAATTAAATTTTCGACAATAAACTTAAATCCGTATAATATCAAATGCACGCTATAGCATTGATTAGAATTTCGTTTATAAACTAGTCGAAGCCTCGTAATGCTGTCAATTACAATAGGTATTTTAGTGTAACACTCCTAAGAAAACTGTAAAGTGAAAAGAACCCTTATATTATTGTCAATTACGGTTTGTGTTTTAGTGGAACACTCCTGAAGAAACTGTAAAGCGACACGTGGAGTGTTAATTATATAAACAATAGCAATATACACGATACAAAACAAACGCCCTTCAGTGGCACAGCGGTATGTCTGTGGATTTACAACACTATAAACCGGGTTTCAATACCCGTAGTTGCAGAGCACGGATAGCCCTTTATGTAGCTTTGTGCTTAACTACAAACAAACAAAATAAATAAAAAGGAATATTTGTTTTAAGTTGCGCGCAAAGCTACGCTAGGGTTTTCTGCGCTAGCCTTTCATAATTTGAAGTGATAAACTAGAGATAAAGCAGCTCTTCAACACCTCCTTCTGCCAACAAGTTACCAAAGAATAGTGGGATTGAGCGTAACATTATAACACCACCACGACTGAAAGGACGAGCATGTTCAGGGATGGAATTCGAGCCTGCAACCCTCAGATTGCGAGTCTAGTGACCTAACCGCCAAGGCTATGAATCCCAAAAATAAATGAATAAAAATCTTAAAATGAAAGATTGATTGGAGTGCGAAATGGTGGATGGTGTAAAACAGCTTATATATATGTCAATTAGCATGGATCAACTGTAGCAGCTATCTTTGGAGCCTTGGCTGTTGAGGAACGTGAGAAAAGCAAGACTACTGAAGTTTCTATAAAGATGGTTAACTAAGTAGGCTTACTAAAACGTTTATATGATGGAAAACTAGGACTAGATTGTGGTGACCCGAAGCTACGGCTTAGTTTGGAATTCGTTTTTTGTTTTTAGTCCATGTCACACTATCTAACAACAAAAATATGCCAGTGAATTTTAAAGATAACCCAACTCTTTAAAGCTACTTCCTCAACTCAGGATAGGATATGAAATCTTGAACAATATGGAAGGAGTAAACGAGCAATTAACAGGGATATTACTAAAGTCTGTACGATAGATGGGGAGAGTTGGTGTGTTGTGATGGGTTCCATTTGAGCAGGTTGAGAAATAAGTATTAGGAACTATTAATTACTTCATTATGGATTGTTTAAAACTCGTTCTAGCTAGCGGCCAAAATCGCTTATAAATTGAAGTACAGTATCTTGGCTTTTACATACGATTTTGAGGATAACACATGAGATTGTTATTCGAATAACGGAAGTACAGTATATTGGGTTTTACATAAGATTTTGAGGATAACACATGAGAATGTTATTCGAATAACGGAATGTTACGACAGCGGAAGTCACGTGACTCTGGTAACACGTTATGAGATTATCAAAGGATCTTGAATTTTCCTGGCAACTCTAATCTGTTCCAGGCGCCCTCTTTTTTAGTATATAAGCCCGGTAAATAAAGCAAAATTGCAGATAGATAGATATAAAGACAAATAATTGAGTCAATCGAGCGGTAGTGATGGTAATATAAAGTGTGTGTTTTGTTATCGAGATTGCAAATGTATTGACTGTAGAAATTCTGTGTATTGCAAAGTTGTATCTAGAAGGAATAAACTAGTTTTAATTAAGAAAGGACTTGTATCGCTGAAGTTTCTCGGAAAGAATATGTAACGGGAAGTACACTATCTTGACTTTTACATAAGATTTTGAGGATAACACATAAAGTTGTTATTCTAATAACGGAAGTACAGTATCTTGGCTTACAGAGTATTTAAGGATGATACACAATAACGTTTCTTTTACGCTGATTATAAAATATGTGTTAATAAGATGTTTAATTAGGAAATTTTCCCAGCTGCTGATGTATGAGATTCGATTGGTTTTTATCCATAACTTCTGATCAAAGCATTTAAACATTAACATAGAAATTAATATACCGATCAAACTAGGAGTATGCAATGTCACAAAAAACAAAATTTAAATTGATTAAAATGCTTTGAATCATCAGTTGAGTACCGTCGCTCTTAACAATATTTTCAGCCGTAATCCCAATATTATCTCACGGTATTCGCCCAGATTAGTAAATGTATTTTAATCCCAAATCCATATACTAAACTAATAATGCAAAGTAGTCATCATTGTCAAAAATATGTATTCTAAATAAATTAAAACTAATAGAAATGAATGGATATATGAGCATGTTAACTGATGCTGCTAATGAAGTAGAATATTACTTTACTGACAACAATCATAAAAACAGTTTTTTTTAGGCACTATCAGTGACTTCCCTGTCCCTTGAAACGTGTGACACTAGGGACGTAAATTGTTTGTTTGTTTAGGTTTTCGCGCAAAGCTACACGAGGGCTATCTGCGCTAGCTGTTCCTAATTTAGTAGTGTGAGACTAGAGGGAAGACAACTAGTCATAACCACCCATTGCCAACTCTTTTACCAACGAATAATGTGATTGGCCGTCACATTATATCGCCCCCACGGCTGAAAGGGCGAGCATATTTGGTGTGACGGGGATTCGAACCCGCGCCCACAGATTGCGATTCGCCAAGGATGTAAAACGAAATAATCCTCCCTAACACCATTAAACGACTCCAACAGTGAGTTTTAGATTAGCTTAATGTTTGAGATAAATGGTTCTAGGGCATGTTACTCTTTTGGTGTAAAGTCGGAAGCGGGACGGTATAGATAGTACAGCAAAAACTAATTCTATGTAAATAAAAAATAAGTAATTAAATTTGTAACAAAAATGGTCCAATAAATTAAAAAATATAAATTGTATGTCTAAAGAAACAAAAGTAATGGAAAAAAACGAAGTTGCAGAGTACAGTATGAGCAGCGTATATAAACTTCTAAAGCGGCGCTAAGGCCACGTCTTCCCCAGTTTAAAAATCAAGCAATAGATAAATGAATAGACCTAATACTTGTGGTAAAAATTACAACATACTGTGGATGTTTTGTTTTTTTTCAAGTTCCTCTTAATTCCATTGCGGACCCAAATAAATAGCGTTTCGAATAATCTTTTATCTGTCATTCCAACCCAATTGACACGTTCTGGCATTACACGAAAGGCCTCTTGGACAGTGAATTGTAGGTGACATGAGATAGATCTGAAATTTAGTTTTTCCACGCACCTGATTTTGAGTCCGCAGTGGACAAATTAAGAGAAATGTGGTAAAAAAAAAAACATCTGCAATAACGTGATTTTTATCACAAATTTTAAACCTATTGGTTTCGAATGTTACGTCAGCTTTCTGCTATTCAACCGTAACAATTTGTAAAGCTATAAGCCGTCAAACTTACCGCTGAACTACTGGAGGCATTGTTTTAAGCTATATTTTCAATGTTATAATTTAGTTCTTTACTAGAGGAAGCTACTAATCATGATGATGATGCAATACCTAGAATGTTCGTAAATACTAACGATCGAGAAGCTTTGTGAAGTATCTAGGAACAAGAGTAGATTATAGATACGAGTAATAAGAAGTTAATGAGTGTTTCATTTCATTGTTAGACTGTGAGAGTTAGCGCATCTATTCTGCTATTAAATTACTCGTGAGTTACTTGTTTATGCATCGATCAAACCTAGAATGTTAGGATAGGTACCATTAGGGAGTAATTTCTGTTGAAACATTGTTTGTGAACTTAAGCCTACAACTTGTGTCAAAGTGATCATTGCCTGTAGCAAACGTTAAGAAGTAATAAATCAATTCGTTATGGTTATGTGAATTGAACTTTGCATTATTTTCGTCAAATAATTCAAAATAACTTTCTCAACAATAGAACACGTTACAACAATATATTGAATGCAACTGATTATGACTGATAATCTATCATCACTATGAAAAAGAATTATGTTTAAATAATCATTTTTGTGATGGGTTTTACTATAATGAGTAAAAACACCAATCTTATTCATATACATGCATATTTAAGTTTCTAATTTATATATATTACTTTATCCAGAATCCTCCTTACATAGCACGGAAGGAAGGTGCTAATCTGAGGGGGAACAGTCGGTATGAGGGATACTGCGTGGATCTTATTGAGGAAATTTCTAAGGTACTTGGATTTAAGTACAAATTTCGAGAAGCGGCCGATCGCACGTATGGGAAGAGAAACGAATGGGGAGAATGGAATGGCATGATTCGTGAGTTGATAGAAGGGGTTCGTATTTTCACATCGTTTGTTCGTTCTATCCTATACAACTGCTTAATATGTTCAATCATTGTACTACTGTGCTTAATCAAATGTTCTCCTGAACCATAACGTAGCAAAATTAGTATATAAAAATGATTAAAGGCTTTGCATTTTGCCCAGTGTAGCAACGTGTGTCAATGAACGCGTTTGTATAAAAATATTTAATGAAGCTTTGTGCAGAGACTGAATCTTCCAGGAATCAGCCCCACAGAGACACATATATATCTGGTTTATTAATATTGAAATATAAAAGTAAGTTTAAAATCAATTTTTCCAAATTTTAGTGAATAAAAAAGAATTCATAATTTCAACAACTAAGTTTTATCTCCTTTTTCTTTCCTTCTGTTTTTGAGGAGTGTACTTTCCACTTCCCCTTTGTCAAATATATCAGGTATCTGTGTTTTATTAATATGAATATACAAAAGGAAAATTTAAATGAATTAAGTTTAAACATTTTTACAAATGTGAATTCATTTTGCCATCTTTTGGAAAAGGTATTGAGTTTTTGAGATTTTTTGCATTCTTTGCTTGTCTTTCTAGAAAGCAGATTTAGCAGTTGTAGATCTGACAATAACGTACGAGCGAGAAGACGCTGTCGATTTCACGATGCCATTCATGAACTTGGGGATAAGCATTCTTTTCAAAAAACCCTCCAGGAAAATCCCTAAGCTGTTTTCCTTTCTATCCCCACTGTCTCTAGAAGTGTGGGTGTACATGGTGACAGCTTTCCTCGGAGTAAGTCTCTTTCTTTTCATCGTGGCTAGGTTCAGTCCTTATGAATGGACAAACCCTCATCCCTGTGACCCACATCCTGATACCCTGGAGAATCAGTTCACCCTGCTCAACACCTTATGGTTCACTGGTGGCTCCCTCTTGCAACAAGGGTGTGAAGTCACACCAAGGTGAGAAACTAGAACAATCTGTTGGATGTTTTCATGTAATCTGACAGGTATTGAAAAAGTCACATGTTAATGCTTAGGCATTTGTTAAATATATTAATCGAATATCAAGCTACTACAATATATTTTGTTCTATAATTACCTCTTCTCCTTAAGAACGTGTAACTCACTTACTCACACACTTACTTACTTACCTTAGTTTATAACTCACTCTGGTAAACTACTACAAATTATTTTTCTCCACAGTTAAAAGATGTGAATGAAATGCAATTTTCAGATTATGTTTTATTGTCACCAGGTGATTATCAACTGACGATTTTTTACTCTCATTACAAATTTGATTCGAAATAATGAACAAGTAATGCTACATTTTATGTCAACAAACAATTTTCTTTTGATGGCAAGAGGCTTTTCTTTGAAGTCTACAGAGCCTGTATATTCAGTTATCGAGAACAATTTCAATTCACCATGAACAAATAATTTAATTTGACGACTAATTTCACTATAAACAAGCGATTTCTGTTCAATTGTATTTGAATATCACTAAACAGTTTTAAATACTAATTTCCAGTTGAATTTCTTTGCGAAATATAAATCTTTTTATTTTTCACCAGTGTTAAAAACATTTAAGTTTATGAGGTCTAAAACAAGTTCTAATGTTTAGGGCTGTTTCAACAAGAGTAGTTTCTGGAATCTGGTGGTTTTTCACCCTTATCATGGTATCCTCGTACACAGCCAACCTTGCAGCTTTCTTGACCGTGCAACGGATGACTTCGCCGATAGAGAGCGCTGATGACCTGGCTAAGCAGACATCCATTCAGTATGGTTGTCTTCGGTCAGGATCTACGCAAGCTTTTTTTAAGGTAAATGACCAATTTAATACCCTAAATCAAATTTATTGAAATACTGAGAAAATGTTTACTTATACGCTAGTTAATTTTATAGACTGTACTTTTCAATTCCTCAGCAGTTTCTTTTTTGCACTTGTAAATCTACTTATGTTCCCCATTTACAGGTGATTTGAATAGTACAACTTGGAATAATCACTTAATCAAAGCATAACATAACTAAATATATATACATATATATTTGTCACCGGTGGAAACAAAAACCATGTTTGAAACTTATTTTGTTTCGTAATATTATTTAGTTCTAGAAATTATGCCACCAGTGACTCAGCGGTAAACCTGAGAGCTTATAACACTAACATCAGGTTTCGATACCTTATGTGGGCATATCACAGATAGCCCATTGCGTAGATTTACGCTTAACATCAAACAAACAAAATCTAGAAATTATCATAAGTAGTTATACGAGATGGTGTTTCGAATCTTTCATTTTTTTTGTCAATCGAGGTACAAATAAATGGAATCATATTTCAAACTTTTAAACAAATGTATGAAATGTTTAGTGTAAAAAATGGAGAGTAACAACGAATTTTAAGCATTTCTTTCAATAGACATATCTTTCTATCAGTGTTTCGGAAAGAACAAACAAACAACTCTACGGCGTTAGGCATAAGTATTAATTAAGATATTTGTAAGCAATGTCTACAGTTTTAATGTTCATCTATCCTAGCTTGGGGCCTCGAGTGGCACAACGGCATGTCTGCGGATTTACAACGCTAGAAACCGGGTTTCGATACCCGTGGTTTATAGAGCACAAACAGCCCAATGTGTAGCTTTGTGCTTAACTTCAAAACAAACAAACCTAGCTTGGGGTCATGATTTTATTCGCTTCACAATGCTAATTACTTTTTTTACCAGTTCAGATTGTCTAATCACAGACAATAATTATCGATGTCTACTTAAAAACAGCTATCAGCTAATGTTCTTTTGTCTTCTTCAATTCTGTTAATCAACTGAGAGACCACAACACCTTAAGTGAAATCTTCCAGCTACTTTAGAAACTTTCACTAAAGGACTTTTTTTTTTACTAAACATTTTGTTGAGTGTAAAATTGTCTAATCTATTTTTCACAAAATTAACTGAGTGTATATACTTACATCAAAACAACTTAAGAGACTTAAGTGTGCTATAAATTGTTTCTAGCAAAAATGTTCGCTCATAATACTAGGAATCGAATAATAATTACAAGTTACATTCCCGAATGTCCATCTTTAATTTTAATTTCCGGATTTTTTCACTCACGTCTTTCTTCTACAGGTATCAACTCTGCAATATCTAAAAACATTTCACGCTAAACACAAATATGCGAAAAACTTATATAATTTGCTATGTTACCATAAAATGATTAATTTAGTTTGAGTTGAAGAATGGATGTGAGCCCTTTCCACTGTATCTCTTTCGATCAAATAAAATATTATATGAAAATCCTTCTAAACATACAGAACACACTGATCCATGTTTTCCTAAAGTCAAAACTTCAACATTAATTGGTCTTGAAACCTCCACGATAGTAACATCAAACTAAACACATTTATACTTCTTACATGCTTTACTCATTGATATATATCCGCTCCCCCAAAAATAAATAAATAAATAAACAAAAATGATTTAAAAACATTGTATGTTTTCATATATATATATATTACGGTGGATCCAGGATATTTGGTAAGGAGGATTGTTCCTCCACCAAGTCATTTAAAATTTACGATGTTTTAAAAGTTGCTAATGATATTTTGTTTTTGCATCAGAAGTTTGATCTATAATTTCAATATTTAACCAAATATAATTGTACAAACAAGAATACTTACCAGATGGCGTTGCAATACCATATCCTTTTGAATCTAGGAGTCCGCCAATTTGCATAAGCTCACAGTTTCTTTCCACTATATACTCAATGCTTGTTGATTCCATCAAAAAAGCATAATTCCCTTTTTTCACCCTCTCGACGCCTTTTAAATTAGAATCCACGAATACACTGGGTCGTGCGGACTCCATGAAATTCCACATTCGTTTGAACGTAGGGATGTTCGAATCCTATTTGATACAGTTTTACACTAAATCTCTAGTTTGATAGATTTCACTTTGTCTATGCCATGCCCTGAGTAATATGGAATTACAAAGGATGTTTAAAAAGTTTTACTGGTTATACTAACGTTATAGTCCTATCAAGGAACATGACTCTACTTATGTTTAAAACAAAACTAACACACATATAAGCTATTAAATAATTCTGAACTATTAATTGGAGATATTTTTATGATTGGTCTGTTGAGGAGAAGCTGCTTTTTTACGGTATTACTTTTAAGTCCGATGTACTACCAAACAAAGGTCTGATGGACTACCAAACAAAGGTATCATCAGACCAAATACAAAAACCTAACAAGACTATTCGTTAGCATTGGTACTTATATGTACATATAAATTCTGAATTACTATACTTATCTTTCGGTATTTGGAAAACTTGATGAAAAACAAACAAAATGTATATTTATAAAATGCTCTAATTCCAAAAATAATATATGCCTAGCTTCAGACCATGAATTACAGGTAAAAGAACTAATTAAAACAGTTTGCTATATATTCAACTCTATATAAGTTCAGAATCCAGTTAGACGTGCAGTTATTGTTTTCTAAAGAAAACTCATATTAATGGAGGATGCGATGTTTTATTAAATCTATTTTGTAAGCTGTTTTATAAGTTAAAATAGTTATTCTACTTTACAGAATTTCTTTCTCCTGTAACTTCGATCGATTCTTTAACTAGTAGGTAGATAAACTTACGAAATTTTAAATGTCCTTTCTTAAGTATTTACATAATTCACTTACGATAGTTCGTGGAGTTTTTACTGCACTTTACAAAATGAAGTAGTCTGCTGCGAAGAAAGAAGCAACAAAGATCTCTTCTGTGTTCGCTAAGAAGCTGTTAAGTTTCTCTTATATAGAAACAGGAGTTACTGATTTGTATTCCTGTGTCGACGATTCAAAAAAGGGCTGGTATAAATTGAATATACTTATGCATCAGCAGTTCCAAATCTCATGAACAGTCAGGTCGAAAGTTCTTGAGGTTTTTATTTTGTATACATGCACTAAAGTTAACTTTATCATTACAGTAGAATCTACAACCACTTATATACTTATGTAAATCCGCAAAAGAAAGAAGGTCGGAGTAACTGAATCAGTAAAATAATAAAACTAATACTTGTCACACACACACACGTACAAATCTAAAATTCCACCGATGGGTCAGTGGTAAGTCTTCGGATTTACAACGCTAAAATCAGGGGTTCGATTCCCTTCGGTGGACACAGCAGATAGCCAGGTGTGACTTTGCTATAACAAAATATAAATAGATAGTTGCTTTTAACTCCTCCACATATACGTAACTCTTAATTATTTTCCACGAAAGAGCAAAAAAAGGTGGTTTTAATTTGCTCTGTTTAACTTATAATACTTACTGTCAAAACTCTCTTGTTATAGGATAAATAGCTGTACATATATAATAAAAATAACACTTTTTAAGGGATGTTACAATAGTCATTTGCAACTTTCATGAAAAACACCAAACTGGAACTCTGAAAGTAATTAAAATGTCTTTGTCTGAAATGTTCTTTAACAACTAAGGATCTTTTAATTATATGAGAGATTGACACTTCATTTTATACGGAAGTGAACTTTTTATTTCATTGTATTGATTTATATTGCTAGAACCAGTGATGCTTATAGACCTTGATGTCTTTAGGACGTCCCTCTTCAGTGGTGGTATGAGGGGAGGGAGATCCACTAAATTAAAGGGATTTACATTATTTATTTATTTGTAATTATGGTTCATATTTGACTGTTAAACCTTTTTTAATCGTGGCTGTAAAATTAATATTTTTGTAAACGCTGTCTTCAAAAGTTTTTAACCACTGGCTAGAAGCCTTTCTTTATTGTAATTCTTATCCTGAAGGTTCACCCTATCGGACTTTGTTATCAAGTGCCATCCTGAAGCTCCAAGAAGGTGGTATCTTACAAATGCTGAAACAACGGTGGTGGAAAAATAAGGAGAAGAACTGTATCAAGGAAGAAACAAGCCTTTCCGGTTCAGCTAGTGAACTAGGGCTAGATAATGTAGGGGGTGTTTTTGTAGTTCTGTCCTCTGGATTGTGTATGGCGTGTTTAATAGTTGTTCTAGAATTCACCTGGAAATTGCGAAAACTTCCTTCTGAAGAAAGGGTAAGTCGTGTATCATTTGTATTTACCTTGTATTTAAATTGCATGAAGTTTGGTTCGAGAATTTGTTTAGAACCTCAGTCTTGGCGTAAAATAACCTTTATTAATATTTAATATTTCGCCCCCCACCACACACACACAGTGACTCAGCGGTAAGTCTGTGAGCTTATAATGCTAAAAATTGGATTTCTATACACGTGGTAAACAGCACAGATAGCCCATAGTGTAGCTTTGTGCTTAACTCCAAACAAACAAAAATATTTCATATTTCAAGATTTAATTTCAAACGAATATGCAATAAAATGTTTCATATTGAAGAAAATTACATTTCACAATAACTAATTTTAGATATGGGCTCATTATTTAATTACTTCGTGCTCATCTTCATCAAAACTGAAAGGAGCCTTTTTGATAAACAATGGAACTTTCGACACAAACTGTGTCACCACTGCTTATTTGTATCAATAATATCCTATGTTAAAAAAATTATAACGGGCTGGGTGTGGCTTAGTAGTTAACGTGCCGTGCTATGAATCTGAAATTTCATGGTTCGCGTCCCGTTAACGACAGATCGCGCTCCGAACGTTGATACAAGTGGCATACTCCTATGCTTATCACCGCCTTTCCATTTTTATGTGATTGAACAAGTAGTATTGAAAAAAATACCTCAACGGCAAAATTTTGGAGCTGTGACTGCTCTGACTTCAAGCAATCAGAAGCAGGCTTTGCCGTTGCATTATACTCCTGTTTGGATGAAAACTTCAAAATACTCAACAGCATGGAGGAACAAATTACATCTCACATGACTCAGAGTTGTTATTTTTATATACAAACAACGTGTCCAACACAGATAGTGAAAAGAAAAAAAAAAGCATGGGGGTTCCAGTTGCATAGGAATGTCCCCAAAGTAAGATCCAGAGGGGAACCGTTCTCTAGAAAGTATTTCTCCCCTGCCTCATCATCATTCGAACTTCAGTCCATCATTAGTGGCCAATTAGTCTAAGTTGATATGGCCATGATTATCTTCGGAATCTATCGCCCCTGACGCAGTGCACGTGTATCCACCAACTCCGCAGTGTCGCTACGCACCGCTCGATGCTAGCGAAGTAGGCTGCCACACCACTCAAGTGTGTCTTAGCCTGAAATAACGGCTAAACCTAACTAATCGATTTCGGTAGCCCAAGAGTTGGCGGTGAGTGTTGTTGACTAGCTCTAGTCTGTCAGTTCCAAACAAGGGACGGCAAGTGCATATGGCGCTCGTGTACAGTTACGCAAATATCTGAAACAAAATATAGAGCAAATAAAATTTGAATGATGTGTATGTATTATTTACAAACCTAATATATATATACCTTAACATTATTTTTCCTTCCGTTTTAATTAACGTATCAAATACCCTGATTTATGGATGAACACTTAAATAAAGATTGTAATTGTGCCCGAGCTAGAAAGTGCGAAGCAGAGTTGAGAGAATTAGAAACCTACGATAAAATTATTTGAAAAAATAAAAACGTGAAGACGCTGACTAGTAAAGAAAAAAGGAAAGTAAGTGAGATAAGCAACAGAAAAAACTCCAAAAGGCTCATAAAAGAAGCAAGAGAGTGGAAGAGAGAACAGGCGTAGTTGAAAAACTAGATCAAAAAGAAAATGTGTTTTAAAACCCGATCGTGACGACAGAAAAAAATACAGGGGGAGAAATGAGGCGGATACTAAAAGAAGATTCCTTGTTATTGCATAAATCAAGACTTCTACATGTATTACACGCTGTATTTGATGTTCTTATGACATCGTTTTCACTCTCTCCACCATCAGAGCCTTACATCATTTGATCATTAATTTCACGCAAAAAAATAATAACTTTTAGCGTGATATTTCAAACTATAGCAGCATGTGTACAATCAAGTTCGTAAACATAGTTTTTTTATCCTGAATTCCAACATTCCTTTTCATAGGATAACTCCCATACCATCTGGTGTTTTTAAACCCGCACGAAACGTTGATTCCTAACGTGTTTTATATTGGAGATGTTAAGAGAGATATAAACGGAATATTTCTACTTAATTCTTGGTCTTCGTTATAAATCATAGCATAAAGCTAAAAATAAGTGACGTGGGACAACAAGGGGGAATCCTCAATAGCCGCGGCTGTAATTAGAACTCAAATAGGTCAAGAGATGGAGCTATGAGCTAAAAATTTGTACTTGAAAAAAAACTCAAGAACCATTCTATGAGTCGCTATGCCGCGGCTAAATAATATTATCTCATTCATAGTTTTACGTGTGATTCTAAGGGTTCATTTTCGTTGTAAAAACGCTGAGAAAAAACACTTCTCAGGACTTAAAAAAGATCTCTAATAAATCAAATATCTTTAAAGCACTATTTTAACTACGAAACGTAATGGAACATTAACCAGAGGTAAAGAAAGCTGTTCTGTGGTCTATTTGTTTCAATGATAAAACTTTAAAATCCCTTTCCAGTAATTCCTAAACATCTTTGTTTATATAATAAACCTTCAATAATTTCTCCATTAAAAATAGTAATAAAAAACTTTAACTCTGTTTGATTAATGTGACTCAGCGGCAAATCTGAGGGCTTATAACGTTAAAAATCGGGTTTCGATATCCTTGTTGGTCACATCACAGATAGCTCATTTTATAACTTTGTGCTTTAATAACACACTCATTATATGTTATTAAGAATAAAGCTACGCAAGGACTATTTGTGATGTCCCCACCAAGGGTATCGAAACACTCTATTTAGTGTTATAATCTTTCCAGAAAATTTCGACATCAAATATAACATCATTTCAAAATATCTTAAACCATTATGATTTCCCTGAAAAAATAATAAAGTCAACATAAAATGTTAATGATATATGATGACAGCTGGTTTGTTTGGAACAAAAACTTACTATTAAAGGAATGAGCCCAATAGGTTGTTTCTGAAATTAATTCATTTCGATTTAATGTTTAAAGGACCACAACCACGACAGTTTTGATCTAATTATTTAGATATTTTTTTTAATTTAACCGATTTTAATTCTTTTGCATATGACCCTTTGTTCTTTAAAATATGTCTTAAGCTGAGATTTCCGTTATAATTGTTAGTTGACCGAGTAATGCTTGCTGACGAACTTGTTACTTGTATTTTTACAATTAGTTTTTCCTGGTCGTGTTATTGTTTTAAATAAATATTACCCATAGTTGTGTAATGTTAGTTAATTGTGCATTTTCTGTCTGAAACCTATACGTACTACTGTTAACATGTGCATTTTCTGTTTGAAACCTATACGTACTACTGTTAACATTTGTATTGATATTGCCCATAGTTGTGTAATGTTGGTTAATTGTGCATTTTCTGTCTGAAACCTATACGTACTACTGTTAACATTTGTATTGATATTGTTGTAAATTATATTTTCATTTAGATGTGTATTTGTTAGAGAAAGCTAGTCTTTATGCCACGATCTAGAAACATCCTGTACTAAGTAGAAAATGAATACAGTGAAACCTCCTTAATCCGAACGTATTTTGATTAATTAATTCGACCGGATTATCGAGGCATCCGGACAACCGAACCAGTCGTTTTTGAATACAATGACCAGTATTAATAGCATCTATCATCGATCGATAAATGCAAGGGTTCAAACTATTACGGGCGGACATGCAACTGGTAAACAACAAACAGATGTATGTGCCATAAAAATATCAGACTAACATTCTTTACGTCAGTTTGTTCAAACCAATTACGTACTTAATTAAAGAATACAAAAACATAGTTTGATCTAATATATACAACAAATCATTTCCAAAAAATAAAATTATGTAATAAAGTCTCCTTTTGAATTAAATTTCTTTTGAAGCTTCTAAGCAGCTTTGAGCAAATAACACATTGCATCATCATCTTCTTCACATAAATCCCTGTTGTTTTCGAACTATGTGATGACGTCTTTATAATTAGATCGTGCTTTATTCAGGCTGACAGATCTGAGTGTTGGATCATTTTCGATATCACATTCACTTTCACCACACGCTTCAAGAGACATAAAAATGGTGTATTCACTCTTGACTAGTTGGTTCTGTTGAGTGTCGAGCCACTGATCAGCCAAAATGACATTATTATTACTTGAGATTAAGATATGAATTGTATAAGCAATCTCATTAATGACTTCTGACATCTCAGTAGTTTCACTTTGTTGGGGCTTCGTTAAAATCTTGACGTGCTTCAAGCAGTTTTTAGTATTTTTTAACAGTAACACTGGACCAGGTGAAACTTGTCACGTATAAAGCCTCGAAGATATTTACAATTTTTCATGTAACATCATACACCCAAAGATGCATACCTTTCTCCAGGTTTGTACACTTTGAATGCATTGCTCTTGTTTGTTGACTAGTAGGTTTATAAATAAGTTATGCGTAGTTACCATTAGTCTTGGAATTTCTGTTGGAGTGTTGTTTGTGAAGTTAAGGATACATGTGAACGTAACCTATAGTGTAGCAAACGTTACTGTTTGTTTGTTTTGAATTTCGCGCAAAGCTACACGAGGGCTATCTGCGCTAGCCGTCCCTAATTTAGCAGTGTAAGACTAGAGGGAAGACAGTTAGTCATTACCACTCACCACCAACTCTTGATTGACCGTCACATTATAACGCCCCTACAGCTGAAAGGGCGAGCATGTTTGGTGTGACGGGGATTTGAACCCGCGACCCTCAGATTGTGAGTCGAGTACCTTAACCACCTGGCTATTCCGGGCCTAATTGTTCGTTTGGTCGGTGACGCGTGATAGTATCTAACTTCAGTTAAAAGTCCACTTTAATGACAAAACAGTAGTTTCCAGAATGTTAATTTTCTATTAAATATTTTTTGGTATCTTTAAGAGTAAGATATGTGTACAAACATATGTAAAATTACATCACAATATTTTCATAAGAACAACTGATGCAAAATTGGATGAGTTATATTACAAATCATTAGAAATGAATAAAAACCCTATAACCTGAGCACTTTCGAAAGGTGGACCTTTCTTCTTCAGTGTTATAGGGTTTTTATTCATTTCTATCCAGACTTCTCGAACCTACGTATTTTTTCTAACATCATGAATAACAAATCATTACATATCCAATACACTACAAAGCCTTTACTTAATTATTTTGAACGTACACAAGTGCATCTTTGTGTTTCGTTTGCTACAGGAACCATTTTGCTTCATAAATTATCTACAATGTAATTTTAATATTGTGTTCCGTTTCCACAGGAGCCGTTATGTGTGGAAATGTGCCGTGAAATGAAGTTTGCTATTATGTGCGGAGGAGACAGTAAACCAGTTAGGAAAGAGTCTTTACCACCATCCAACAACTTGTCACTGATCCAGTTCAGCAGCCTAGGAAACCTCAATTCGAAAGAAACGATATCTTGACAACAAGATCCAGGGCTGGTAGTTCCTTTAGTAGACAGTGATGTCAGCTATTACCGATATTCCCAATATGACGTCATCAGCGTAGTCTAGAATAGCATTTCCGATTAATAAAACTATCTGATATTCCATCTGATGTATAGTTTGGTGCATCCATCTGTATAGAGTTTGTTAATTCTTAGAGGTCGTCTTCTTTAAACTTTTCCATAATTACATGCATCGTTGGATCTTAATAAGATTCTGGGCGAAGCTTTTGGTCTATTAACCGATGTTACTGTAATATATATAAACCAGTAGATTAGATGATAATGTTGAACACGTACAGTAGATGCCTTATAGGCAACTGTTTCATCGAATTCCGAAATCGAATCAATTGTTCATTGTGTGTTTGTGGCTCAGTTGTACAATATCAATGATGCTATACTGGGTTTCCTTTTTGTTTAATAGCTTACTCTGATATGATTAAGAAATTTAGGACTGTGTTATGCTTGTTCATCTTACTGTTATTTCTGATTAATTATATCAAGATTGAATATAACAGACTCAGAATATTTCATTATGTTTAACGCAGTTTCCGTAAGATTGATTGTCGTAATGTTGTGGTGGTGACATTTTGTTTGAAAAATAAATGTAAAAATATTGATTCGTTCAATGAAGAATTTGTAAAGCTTGTGATTACTGTGTTTACTGAAGTTTTAATGTTATCTTTGGTGTTGAAACTGAACCTTTAAAATTTTTAATGGTTTGTTTGGAATTATTTTATAAAAACATTTTGAGAATTGTGTTTCAATGATAATATAGTTTTGGATATGGTCATTTAATAGAGTTCAGGGTTGTCTGAATAATGACCATTTAAGTCCAGACGATGGGTAAGGAAAACAATTGAGAGCATATATCTTTTCCTGTTCAAATACAAACCTTATCATTGTATACGTATTTAAATTAATAACATGATAGTGCGTTTTCAATTAACCAAATAATGTGGACTTCAATAGAATATTATTCTCCGGAAGAGCAGGATGCGCCCATGGTCTGCCAATTGAACAACAACGACCTAAGCAAAATTGGGAGTGACTTTTGCCCACAATTAAACGTTTAACTGAACGATTTTTATCTTCGTATTTTCTCCAGAAATCAACATTTCTGTATATTTTTCTTGTCTGAGTATTCACTTTAAATTATGCTTTTAGACATCTCGAAAAAATATCAAATTTTTTGGGCTTTGTTAGTAGAAAAAGACGTCAATGTAATACTTTCCTCGGAGTTTACGAAAAGAGGTATTATAAAAATTATTTGAACATCAGACATTTCCGAAGAACGATATACAGTATAAACTTTATAATCCTTAAAATTATACTAGTCTACACAAGAGTTCGGAAAAGTTTTAAATTGATATAATGTGAATAAAATGCTTACTCAGAAGAGCACTTCATTATTACCCAAACTGTCAGCTGCTTTACTATAAGTCGATTATATTTAGGTGTATCGTAATTTCTACGACTAATATCTTCTAGATATCCATATTATATAATATTTAATCCCTTTTATTCATTAAAAAAACATGTATTTTGTATAAAAATAGACAAGGTAGTATGATAGAATAATCTAGACTTAAATATTGATTTATTCTTTGTTCATGATCAAAAATGCCTTTTATTTTTTGTTGTGGGTGGTGGTGGTGTTTTTTTTTTGTTTGTTTTCCTAAATAAAATTCATCCCAATTTGTGCATTAAATGGGTGCTTATTTGCCTCAGGTAATTGCCATAAACTTGTTACTCATTATTACGAGAAATAATGTTAAGTGGATCAGCCTCACCCAAAAGTCTTATATGAAAATTTTGATGTTCGTATGCAAATAACAATACTTCGTTGTGTAAAGTCATAAAAACACCTTACATGTGAAATGAGAAACACGTCGAGCTTGATAAGTGAGAGAAAAAAAAAGGTTAGTTACCAGAGATGTATAGAAATAACCTTTTTGTTGTTGTTTGTTTGTTTATCTTCCACAAGTCACCTTTCAATATTCCTTCCATCTTATTTCAACTTAATCAGCTAGGCTAGTCTATAGGCCTAATATGAACTGTAATGGGCATCACGTGACTTTTAATGTAAGTAGGCGCCATGATGGCTTTCTAGTCAAGGCTTACATTTGCCCATAGATTTATATAGTAACTTTTTCTATATAGTCAATTTTCTTATATCTATAATTTGCCTCTATATCCCAGAATATGTAACAGACAGTGGACGGCTTTAAAATGAAATCAGCTTGTAACGAACATGTATTGACGGTCTTCAAATTTTCTTCACAGCATAAGATTTACAAAATTGTATTTAGTTTGACCTAATCGTTAGATATGATAAGTACACGATAAAAGTCAATAATGAATCGTATTTATTATATAAATTACTGAAAATATAAGTAAGCGATCGAATTCATATTTTGAAACTGAATTTTCATAACAATATTAATATAGATAGTTACAGTGTTGAATTGGATTAGCATTAATAAATCTGTAATATGATATCTAATACACTAATCGTAGTATATATATTGGCGCAAGCCTATCTACAGGGTGTGCCTACTTTTATAAAATGGTTATGAGAATGAAAAGAAAGAATCTTGAACATTTCCATTAATTTGTTATCTTAAAGTACTGTTACGACAGCGGGGGTCACGTGACGCTACTAACACGTCATATTCTCGAAGGTTCGTGAAGTCTCTGCATATCTAGTAGCCTCTCAAGACTTCACGAACCTTCGTTAAATTATAAATATATTAATTCATGTGAATATAAAATTTCATATTTTCTGAAAAGGTGGTGTCTATTTACTTGTGACCACCCTGTGTATATAAGCCGCCAAAAAGTGACGGCAAGAAGGTAATGTAATGTGTAATTGACAGTTGAGTCGAGCACGTGAGAATAATTCACAACGAACGAGCGTTTTTTATAGCGCGACTGTGAAAATTAAGTGTATTGCAAAGTTGTATTCAGAAAGAATAAACCAGTTTTATTTAATAAAGGACTTGTATCGCTAAAGTTTCTTCAGAAAGAATTTTTACAGAAAATTAACTAACGAACGGGGGCCTAACAAATTGGTGTCAGGAGTGGGATAGAAAAGAAAAAGAAAAGAAACAAGAAGAGAAATTACAACAGTTGTTGGAGGAAAAAAAAAGAAACAAGAAGAATCAGAAAAGAAACAAAAACAGAGATTACAGCAGTTGTTGGAGGAAAAAGAAAAGACACATGAAGAGAGATTACAGCAGTGGTTAGAGAAAAAAGAAAAGAAACAAGAAGAGAGACAACAGCAGTTGCAAGAGAACTTGCAACAGTGGCAGCTGGAACAGCAAAACAAACAAGAGAGATTACAGCAGTTGTTGGAGGAGAAAGAAAAGAAACAAGAAGAGAGACTACAGCAGTGGCAACTGGAACAAGAAAGGAAACAAGAAGTACAAACGGAAAAGATTAGTAAATTTAAAAGCGAATTGAATATATTAAAGGATAATTTATTGTCTTTTACACAAGGAAGATACATTAACCATTGACTTAGTCAGCCCCAGACAATGACAAGCCCCTTCCAGACCCCGCAGCTAAACCCTAATGCAGACATCTTCAGTCCTGTTAGAAGTCACATCCCAGATATGAATGTCAGTAATAGGAGTGATCCAGTACGAAGGAAGCCAGAGGAATTCGATGGGAAGGCACCGTGGGAAGCATATAGAGCACAATTTGAACTACTGGCAGAAATGAATGGATGGACAGAGGAGCAGAAAGCAGTATATCTGGCAACAAGCTTGAAGGGACAACCATTGGAAATACTTGGACAGTTGTCGGCAGATGACAGGCACAACTATAGAGCACTGGTAGCGGCTCTAAAACTCAGGTACAGAACCCAAAATCAGTCTGAAGTCTACAGAGCTAGGTTTAGGACGAGAGTCCGTGCTAAAGGGGAGAGCCTGCAAGAGCTGGCTCAGGACATGGAAAGTATGGCATACAAGGCCTACCCAACTGCACCTCCCGATCTCCTCAAGTTGTTGCTGAGAGATCAGTTTGTAGATGCCTTGGACAGTCCACAACTGAAGATACAAGTGAAGCAAGCACACCCCTCTACTATGCAGG